TGCTACAAAAACGGCTTGATCTGAAAAGAGCTGTTTTTGACAGGGTACAAAATGTGTTTTTTACACTACCATTGAGAAATTTTAATCAAACGACTTTTACAGACTTTTCATTAAGACCGCAAAGAATCATATCAACTTGTGGAAAGTGGGCATCCTATGACCCCTTTAAGAAGTTCATTCTTTATTAGGTTCCTAAAAACAGTTTATGGAGTTTTATTGCGTAGACTCTGTGGTGCTGCTTCCCATTGATTTTCTATTGCACTGCTAGCCACAGGCGGCAAAGCAACAGATGAGCAGAGACGAGTCCGTCTAGTAATCATGGCTTAACTGCTCACAGAGGGATTTCAATGACCAAACATTAATAAATTCTGCTTTTCTATGGGATACACTCCTTTTATATTGAATGTAGCTGAAAAAAGATGTTTGTCTTCATCTTGCCAAGAGAAAATCAGAGCCTAGACTCCCATTTCTGCACAATCTATCACCGCATGTAAAGAATAGAGCCAGACAGTTGTGTTACCAAGCAATTGAACAGGTGTACCTAATAAAGTGGCCGGTGAGTGTATATCTGTCATGTAAACAGTGTCAATACAGCTCACAGATCCATATAACACTCTCCGGTAGTGTCAAATGACAGGTTGATCATTAGGAATTAAAAAATGTTTTGTCTTGTCCTTGACAGATCAAGCCTTTTCTATGGGATACACTCCTTTTATATTGAATGTAGCTGAAAAAAGATGTTTGTCTTCATCTTGCCAAGAGAAAAGCAGAGCCTAGACTCCCATTTCTGCACAATCTATCACCGCATGTAAAGAATAGAGCCAGACAGTTCATTGATAAGGCGGTACAGTGCTGGAAAGGATATTGCTAATCATATATCTGTCATGTAAACAGTGTCAATACAGCTCACAGATCCATATAACACTCTCTGGTAGTGTCAAATGACAGGTTGATCATTAGGAATTAAAAAATGTTTTGTCTTGTCCTTGACAGATCAAGCTGGAATCTCACTGCAGTCCATTCGCACATGCAAATTGGTACATGCGGCTAGTAACTGAGGTTTGACAATGAAAGTCCACCCGAAGACAACTGCGATGAATTAATCAATCTTAGATGCAACAGTGGCAGCATTCACTAAAACACCTGAGAATATCTGCAACAGATGCATCAATTTTTGATTAAATGGTCAAAGACTATTCAATCTGCCAAACTATGTAAGAACAAAAAATTACAAGAATGATTCTTAACAGACAATCACTGCAAATTTCATGGATAAATGTGTTTTGTTTGCAGTTTTTCCAACAGTTCATGTTTGTCTGGGTTCTGTGTCTGATTACCGATTCACTGCTCCAGACAAAGGATTTCTCCTCCTTTGCGCCAAGACGGATGCTGAAGCTCTGACCATCCACCATCACACAACAAATACCACTGATTTATTGTCTAAGGGTGCAGTCAATAATTCCACAGCACAGAAACAATAAATAAACCAACATCAGATTAAAATCATGCGTAACCAACAGTTAGAATGACCAGTACAACATTTTTCCATCCACTGTTCAGATGTCAACAAAAACAGCATAAGATAAATAAAATATTACACAACACTCATTAATAATAATAATAATAATATAATTTCTTAACTAGTAATTCTTAAATGTCTTAAATTTAATTAATGTTTTTCCTAATCATGTTTTATTTTAAGTGGAATTAGATTCTACTGAAGCAGAGGCTTGATATTGGGGCATGATATATTTAATGATGGATATACCATGAATCTCTCAGAGCTCTTTCCTTTGTTCATAATTCATAAAACTAATGGTGGTTGAAAACCTAGGAAACCATGGACTGCAGTGGAAATTATGAATAAATACCTTTCATGATATATATTTTTTTCATGCTATATTATATATTTAATAAGAGTACAACAATCATAAATCATGATTATTGTACATATAATATGCTGTTGTATCAAGCTACATTCTAAAATGTAATTCAGAAGAAAAAAAGAAAGATTTTTCTGCAGAAATAAATTAAACTCCTACACTCAGCAAATTAACTGCCACAGACATAAAGTGGGCGAGCAAACAGATTACATCAAATGACCTTTCTGGCTTAATCCCAAAAAAGAAAACTTAAGAAAGAATTTAGGTGGGTTCACTTAATATAACTTCACAATTCTGTTTAAAACAGAATATATAACAGACATTTTTAAGGCAATTTCTTTGTCCCAAATATGCAGGCAGGTGTTTGACAATGCTCCAGATGCACTGATTTGTGAGAGTGTCAAGAAACCAGAATAAAATCACTATGAACTGAAATTTAAAAAAGGGAAACAGCAACAAATGGTTTTAAATATAAATAAAAATGCCTGGATGTAAAAGCTGGCAATGGTTCCCTCATTAATATCAAATAACATAAAGAGACAAATTATGCATATGATGCATACTATATTATGTAGTAGGCTATCATATAGTGTACTTCAATGCAAAAACTACAACAACAAAAAAGTGCATTTAGCAATTTATTTTTCAGACACATTATTGTTTCACTTTAGGTCTGATACATTTATATAAATATATATATATAGAGAGAGAGAGAGAGAGAGAGAGCGATCATTTAACTTAAGCCTGTAAACAATCTTTCGTAGCTTCCACAATATTCACAATTACAACCTGTTCAAATCAAATAGCCCGCTGAAGTTTTGTTCATACTGCTACCTCCGAGTTGCTTCACAATCTCTGCGATGCAACTAGGGGCTACATGCAGCATGCAAAATTCATAAATAAATATCTTACCTCGTATTGAATATATTGTTTCCTCCATTCTGGAGTAATATGGGCGGACAGGTGCTCCGCAAACTTCATGCTGGCGGAGCAGATATCCCACAGTAGGACTATAATAATATCCTCTGATCGGGCAGCGTCTTCTTTTGGGGCTTTTGTTATTTCTGTCACTAAGTTACAGAGCCGCATCCGTTGCGTTGCGTTGCGTTGTGTTGCGTTGCGCTCTGTCTAAATCCTGTCCGGTGTATCAGAGTCCACTAGTCCTCGGTCCAACATATTACCCCACTCAAAGTGAAACCCGCAACAAAAGGGGACTAAAAGTACCCTCCTTCTACTTCCCAAAACAGGTGCCTAACTGACAGCGCTACAGCCCCGGTGCGGGCGTCTCTGGGAGGGACTTTCTCTCTCCGGACTCTCTAGTCTAGGCGTTTGTGAAGTAGCTGTTGTCCGCCATCAGCGCGCACTGGGTGAAAGACGTATGTGCGTCACAGCGCGCCGTGAGGTGCGTTTAGAAACTGTTTGTGATTAATCTTATCATGCTTTTTGTCTTAATATTTAAAAATAAAAGTACATATTACTTAATTTATTACGCCATTTATTACTAGTTCGTTATTTTTACTGTGTCGTTAAATGTATGTGTCTGATCAAGAATGATTTTTCTATGTCAAGCCAGAAGGAAACAAGTAACAGTAAACTTTCAAAACCTAACCCTAATAGTTAATTATTTGTTTGTGTGTGTGTGTGTGTGTGTGTGTGTGTGTGTGTGTGTGTGTTTGTGTGCATACACACACAGAAAGAAAAGGACGCGGTTGAACAGGAATGAGATGGCAGTGGAGGCGTAATATCGAGATTCGCTCATGAAAATGTGATTTGTTTGCCATCTTGTGGACAATGTGTTCATTGCAAAAATCTGCGCATAAATCCCTGTTAAGTGTTACATTAATATCAAGAAAATAAGGTTTGCTGCGAACCATCTATAATGTAAATTACATTTTGTGTCTCTTCTGTGTGTAAATTGAAATTCTTTCAAAGTTTTCTATTCTTTGTGAAACTGCAATGGACAATAATTGATTGTATAGTGTAATATAATATAGTAAAATATAGTGATTTAATAGACAATAGGGCGGTTTCCCAGACAGGGTTTAAATTAAGTCTGGAGTAGGCTTAATCTAGAATAGTTAAAAATGGCTTTCTGAAACACAGATTAAATACAGATTACTGTACAATGAAATATACTGCTGGATCTTTAATATTGTTGGCTTATTTTTCTGCCGGAGGTCTTGGACATCGTGTTCAGATAGATGGCATCATAGATTCTAGCAAATACCAACAGATAAAAAAAAATCAAAACCTGATTTCCTCTGTTAGAAATCTTATAATGGGCCTTGTTTGGATCTTCTATCAGGACAATGATCAAAATCAACACAAAAATGGGCCACTGAGCACAAAATGAAGCTTCTGCCATGATCATCCCAGTCCTCTGATCTGAACCCTAAAGCTGGGAAACTGAAGGATCTGGAGAGATACTGTAAAGAATAATGGTCTCTGATCTCTAGTCAGGTGTTTTCCAAACTCTTCAGGCATTATAGGTGAAGACTCAGAGCTGTTATCTTGGCAAAAGGAGGTTGCAAAAAGTTTTGAATAAAAGGGTGCCATTAATTGTAGTCAGTGTGTATTAGAGAAAAACATTTCTTTCATAATGAGATTTCCCTTCCCTACCATTTTACTTCAATGAAAGTTTAGGGTTTTGTGTGTGTGTGTGCGTGTGTTTAATAAATAAAAATCAGTGCGGATTTATTTTCACAGCTTCTTTGATCATATTTACCAAGGGTGCCAATATTTTTGATATATAAAGACTGAAAACACAACGTTAATCTGAAGTTAAACCTGCCTCCTGGTAGGTTTAATTTAAGCCTCGATTTAGTCCTGAAGTAGCTCTAGTCTTCCTTCAGGAAATCAGGCTATTAAATTCTGGACTAGACTTAGTCTAGGACTATTTAAAACCATGACAGAGAAAGCAGATTTCTGTTAATCTGGTTTAAAGGGCCATTTTAGTTTAGAATTAGGCTTCATCTCGGTCCGGGAAACCGCCCCCCAATACATCTAAAAGGTCTAGCATGGTCGCAGTATTCCACTTCACAGATCACGCGTCTACTGAAAAACTGGTAGGACCTAAAAACCGTTGGAACTTTTACCAGCGGTCGCGGGACGCACTCGTGCCTTTTATTGTGACGTACCATTCACGGACCAATTCTCAAAACAAGTCCGACTGAATCGGATTACGGATAACATACTGTAGCAGTCAACTGTCTGCGCTGTTTTTATGATTAATTAATAATAATTAAAGCAAAGAAACTGTTGTAAGGTATCTTCATTCTCTTCAATGGCGTCTAGATCTCCGTCCTCCTCCCCAGACTCAGCGACGGGCTCCGGTACTGATCCAGCGCGGCCTGACACCGGAGAGCCGCTCGGCGGAGGATCCGATTTGGATTCAGATTTCGGTTTAGGGAAATTTGATTGTAGTGCTGGGGATGCAGCGCTTCGGTTAGAAGGAGTCGATCTAGAGAATGAATTTGAGGCGGCAGCGGACCGGGTCAGAGATCTCGTCCAGACAGCCAGTAGAGAGCAGCTGCTGTATCTGTACGCCAGGTTCAAACAGGTAAACCCAGCCTTCTTGTTATTGACATAGTTGATGATACTGTAAAATCATAGTACATTAACATGACATCTCCTGCAAAGACGATACGAAGCGAGATTGTTTGGCATTTTATTTGTTTTTATTTATTTTTTAAAAGTGGTGGCTAATATAAAGTTCCCCCAGTTTTTTAATGCACTTAGTAACAGTAACTGTAGTAAAAGTGTTGATACAAATTATATGGTTGCCATGGTAAGGTTTTGTAAAGGGTATGTATTTCTGACAGATGAAGGTGCCTGTTGGTTCTGGAGTATAAAACATCTGGCACTGAAACCAGTTATTTGGGCATTTGACAGTAATTATTATTAAGTAAACATTGAATATATTAGTTGAGAAGTGGTGCTTATGTGATTTATGTATGTTTACGTCCAGTCTGCAACATGTCTGCAATTTATTACCTTTTTCTCTCTCCATTAAATTTTCTGTCACTCTCTACTGTCTGTGTAATAAAAGAAAAAAAATACAATAAATAAATTATAAGTAATTTACGTACTCCACCTATGAATAAAATAAAATATCCAAATAGATTTGGAGTCTAAAATATTTGACATCAGTACTATCTAAAAAAAATTACATTATTTGAGCATTTGATATTATTAAGTAAACTAAAAGCGTATGTTTGACAGGTCAAAGTTGGAAAGTGCAATACACCAAAACCTGGTTTCTTCGATTTCGAGGGTCAGAGAAAATGGTAAGTGTCTTAACAAGCCATGCATTTCTTGATAAGTCTTGAATTTTAATTTGGGCTCATTGCATTGTTGACGGTGACATTTGATGTCTCCAGAACTCTACTCAGTTTGTGATTAGTACTATGAATATTGTTGGCTCTTATGACAAATGGCTTATGATTTTCCTCATTTATAAGTCTTTGGATAAAGTCGACTGCTCAATAAATTAATATAAATGTAAATTCACTTTGTGTCCAATAATGTGAGCTTTTTTTTGGGGGGGGGGAATCCAAATCTTTAGAGTCTTTAAAGTCCAACAGAGTGCTTCTTGTTCACAGGTCAGCATGGAAACAGCTGGGGGACATGAGTGCGGAGCAGGCCATGCAGGAGTATGTGTCCTGTGTATGTGCCCTGGATCCAGAAGGCAGCCAGAAGGTAAAGATTAAACCTACTGTAGGGGCAATTGCATGAGGGGATGGAAAACAAGATTCTTCTGGCTCTTTTGCTATTAAATAGTATGATGTACTGATGTTTTGTTATTCCACAAGTTCCAGTCCACCCAGACAAATTATGGAAAACAGATCTGCATTGTGCTGTTCTGATTTTCACTTCTTAACTTGGAGATTAACTTTTTTTTGCTCTCAGATGAAGCATAGCACTAATTAGCATGTTTTTCATGCAATTAAACTATACTTATTGTAAGTGGATCTGCCTTTTGGTAAAACTATAGGCATTGTGCTGTAATGTTACTGAATAACATGTCCAGAAGAGGGCAGTCTCTGATTGTGCAGTTGTTCTGTTTGTGCATCCTTCTCAAATATCCCATTGTTTTTACCAAGGTGCTAAGAATAATGCTCAAATTATATCAGAAATGGAGTTGCTACATATCTGTGTCTTTTCTATTGGATCTGTAGATGATTCATGCACATTATATAATTCCTCTGAAATTATTATGCAGTCATATTTAAGCAAAAGTTTATGTTGCTACTATCCACTCCTGCTGAGTGGTTCACATCTGCATATGCTCTGTTGAGTCATGTTGCTTAAGTGGGTGTTGCGGGTTTAAGTCCAGCTTGCAATGTGTTTATTACCGTTTGCAATTTATTACCGTTTTCTCTCTCCAATAATTTTCCTGTCACTCTCTGCTGTCTGTGTAATAAAAGAGGGGAAAAAAAATAATTTATACAGACCAATTCCATCTTTATATCAAATATATTATTCAAGTTTAACTCAAACTCTTTTCCTTTATCTCTAATTTTCTCTAGCTTTATTCTCTTTCTTTCTCTTTTGCTTTTTTTATTCTCTTCATATCTATCTTGCTTATGCCTTATTGCTTTTTACCCATAATCCCCATGTCAGAGCAGACACATCCCCTTCACTGATACTACTGCAGGTAACGCAATCTGACTGCCATCCAGACGGGCACAAATTCCCCACCTTACAGAATGAACTGATTGTGTTAGCGTGTTAAAAGAGGACAGGAAGCTCCATTACGAGATAGAGAGAGAGCCGGGGAGGGAGGAGAGACAATAGCTTATTCATGACCTCCTGTGCACTTCTGTTGTTCCGTGCATCTGCTGTGGAGGAACAAAAGAAAAGTGCACAAATTGACGGTATTTTAATACAATCCTACTATTCAAGCAGAAGTGCAGATGCAGCACTTTTCTGCTCAAAACGGTAATATTTTTATGTCATTGAATTAAAATTGCTGTATTATAGAGCTGGCTGGCTGCACAATGCAATATTAATCCATTCCTCAGTGGGTTTCACCAGTGGTTGAATACCAAGAGTCCTTTGTGTGCTCTCTCTTGCTGTTGCCAAATGATGTTCTGACTGAAAAAGGATGAAAAGTGAATAGAACAACGTCAAAAATACAAAACCTGTCTAGCACAAGTTTAGTAACATGTGTGCAGCATCCTGCCAGTTTTCTGTCATGTTTGAGCTTGATGGAGGTGTATTGTACCTTTCTCTTCTAACCTAAACTGTTTCTGAGAGTGGCTTCTTTGGGCTACTGTTGTGTTATTTTGTTTTCATAAACTTTCATGCCCTGTTTGTTCGCCAGGTGTTTTTTTTTATTTTTTTTTTACATTGTTTAAAGGAATGGTTCACGCAAAATTTGAAATTTGCTGAAAATGTACTCACCCCCAGGCCATCCAAGATGTAGATGAGTTTGTTTTTTTCGCAATAGGTTTGGAGAAATTTAACATTACATCACTTGCTTACCAATGGATCCAAATGGATCCAAACAATAATCCACAATTAATCTACATGACTCCAGGTCATCAGTTAATGGCTTGTGATGTGAAAAGCTGTGTGTTTGTTATAAACAAATACATCATTAAAGGGATAGTTCACCCAAAAATGAAAATTACCCCATGATTTACTCACCCTCAAGCCATCCTAGGTGTATATGACTTTCTTCTTTCAATCCGTTGCTTCTGGTTAAAATAGTCCTCTATCCATAATATTGCTTTCTGTAGTGAAAAAGTTGTCTGAATCAGGATATTCGCCTTAATGATAGTTTTGTTTCCTACAAACACGCAGTTTTTCACTTCACAAGATGTTAATTGATGGACTGGAGTGGCGTGGATTACTTGTGGATTATTGTGATGTTTTTATCAGCTGTTTGGACTCTCATTCTGACGGCACCCATTCAATGCAGAGGATCCATTGGAGAGCAAGTGATATAATGATAAATTTCTCCAAATCTGTTCCGATGAAGAAACAAAATAATCTACATCTTGGATGGCTTGAGGGTGAGTACATTTCTAACAAATATAAATTTTTGTGCAAACTATTCCTTTAAAACCTTTAAATGGATCTCTAGGCTTCATAAATGAGCATTATAAAAAGTTCCCTTTTTTTCTTGGTGCCAGACATAATACTTGTGTCTTTCTTTCAGTCGTCAGAGCGAAGGGGAGGAGAGATGCGAACTGGATTTGGCGGGCCAGCGGTTAGCTCTCTATACCAAGAGGAAAAGATAAGGTAACAAATCCTGCTTATGAATACGAGTATTTTATCATAATTTGCAGTGATCACTCTTGCATCAGTGAGGCATAAATCATTTTCTTGATCATGGAACACACAGATACCTCACGCCCCGTTGCTTCTACCCTTTAACAAGACAAATTAAGGGCTGCATTCACATGGTTTTACCTCTTAAATTAACAATATTAGTATGCATGCATGGGGGGTGAATAGGCCTCAAGAATCAGTGGAGTTTAATTACTTTTTTTATGATTATATCGATGATAAGAATGTTAAATGGATCCAGGCATGGATGGATGAAAGAACTATATGGAAGTATCAATGCAACAGGGGTTCATTCCCCAAGTTGACGTGTCCCAGGAGAATGTGAGTCGTTCATTGGGGACGGAAAACCAAAGCAATTAATCTCGTTCCCCCTCCTCTCCTCCCATTTGTCGCTCGCTGAGCGGCCCATTTCGGGCGTGACCCAATCAGACTGCCATGCAGACTGCTTCGCTGCTTTCCAATTTCTAAGCTCGGTGATTGAGAGGCCTCCAGCATATTCAAACCTCTCGTTAGCATTTGATTAGAGAGTCATAATGACTTCTGCATTGCCCGATTGCTACACCAGACGACCTGTAACTCCAAGGCCATCTCTCTCATCTTTTTTTTGCTTAAACTCACTTGGGAAACAACTGGCCAAGTTGCATAATCCTGTGCTTCTGCAGGAGTTGTGAATAAGGAAGCTTTCTCCTCCAAAGAATGCATGATAGATGAGTTGTTCTGTGAGGATGCCTTGGAGAGAGATGAATCAGATTGATCTGATCTGATTGATGGGAGCAGAGGTGTCAGTTTCAGAATATCGGCCTATTTTGGAGGGCAGTGTGTTTTGGACGAGATGTGGCGTCTGTCCGTGTGTATATGTCAGCTCTGCCCGTCACTGATTGATGGTGTTAAAGGGATAGTTCACCCCAAAATGAAAATTCTGTCATCATTTCCTCACCCCATTGTTGTTCCAAACCTGTGTCTTACTTTCTTCTTTGGAATATAAAAGATTATATTTTGAAGAATGTTGGTAACCACTGGTTTCGGTTCCCACTGATTTCCATTGTATGTACAGAAATACAGTGGAAGTAAATTACTCTTTATTATCTCTTTAACATGGCCTGGTGAGCATGAAGGACTCATGCGGTGTACTGAAGAATTGTTTATAATATTGTAATATCTGTTTTTTAATATTTGAAGATTTACACAGATTCACCTCGATAATCTGCATTTGAGTCAATGTGTGAAAACATCAACACAGACCTTTTGTTTGGTCTCTCACTAATCAGAAAATGTTGATCAAACTGTGCAGAATGACAGAGTAGCCAGTGACCTTCCCAGCATGCTCAGCGGCATCGCTGATGCCATGTCGTTTATCAGTGGGCCATTAATCAGGTGTAAGCGTGTGCCTGTGTGTACTCGTTCTTTAGGAGCACAGGCCAGCATCAGTCTGACGAATGAGCAGTTTTATTGATTAGTTGCCCCGGGAGACGAATGATGCCCACATGGCACAGACACACTGGGTCACGGTAAGAAGACCACACGCTCACATATTCAGCCTTATTTACTACAAGTGAGATAAGATCAGGTTTACTGCACACATATATGGGCATAAGCCACTTTCCATGATAACTGTGCACTTTGGTGTACCATTGCTTTTTTTAAAGCACAAATTTGTTTTTTAATTTGTTGTTAGAACTATTAGATTTGTTAGATAAACTATTTTATTATATAAATGTATGATGTAAGCAGAAGTCTTGACCTTCATGAATACAATAAATGAAATAATATGATTCTGATTGTCAAAATAGAAATGTAAGACGTAAGCATGAAAAGTAGCTTTAAAGGTGCAGTAAGCGATTTCTGAGAAATGCTGTTGAAAGTGGATCGGACCGAGCACCAAAACATACTTGTAGCCAATCACCAGTAAGGGGCGTGTCCAGTAGTGATGGGGGAGGTGCCTGTGTTGAATAGCATGTTCAGAAATTCGGGGGCGGAGGCAAGATTGCGTGCAGTGTGATTCTTTTGGGTAGGGGCGTGTTTATTTTGGTGATTTCAAATATCAACTGCATTTCTCAGAAATCGCTTACTGCATCTTTAAACAGTAGTTTTAAACAAAAAAATAGCTTGTTACATTTGTGACATAATCTGATGGTTAAATTCATGTGTTAAAAATTAGCTGAATTTAATTAATTCTAAATTTTAATTCTAGCTTTATTTTTAATTTTATAAATTTTTGCATATTTAACTTTAATTTTGAAAACAACAAAATTTACACCAAATTTACAACCTGGTTACCCATTCTAGTAGTTTTTTTTCCCATTCAGATTTATCAGTTTGATCAAATTTGCCTTTTTAACTTTCGTTTTGATTTTTTGAATTCAAGGCCATTTTTTGTACCATATTTGTGGAAACTGCTATAAATGTTTTTGTCTTACTGCAAGAAATTGTACTTTCTGTAGATTTATTGATATTTTGTTCTGAATATGAAAATTAATCTTTTTGAGGTATATGAAATTTAAGCAAGAAGCTCTCAATGCTTGGCATAACATGGATCTTCAAGCATTTTTCTGTCTCACATATACTTTTCAAATCAGTTCATTTTAGGTTGGCCAATCTGTCTATTTCCTGTATGTCTCAGGCACAGAGGTCCCATCCGCTGCCAGTCTCATCTGCCCTGCCCCTGTAATGAGAGTGAGGGGCGGCCACACAATAGTGCTCCAAATGCAATTAATCTGCCATCCTCCATGGGCAAGAGGGGCAGGGGTAAATCTCTTAATGAGATTTCTCCAACCAACTGTACCTCATCCCCTATAACCCTTTTCTTTCTCTCTCTCGATGTCTCGCTCTGCCATGCCTGGCTTGGCCCAAATGCCACAAGGTGATTAGAGCGGAAAATAATTAAAACTGCTGTGGTTAGCGCCAGGCTCCTGAGAATGCACATACACAGAGGTAGATGGCGTGTTACCATGAGACGCCTGCCAGTAACATGATTTTTGCGGCACCCGTTCACATCTGTTTAGCTTGGCATTATCTTCCTTCTTGGGTGATCACTCAGCGATTCACATTTACTAGGCCCAGAATTTCTAGCGACAGCACTGACCCTGGTTATGTAATATTTAAGATTAGACGATTGTTTCTTAATTTCCCTACTATGATTTAATGCTATTTCAGTTGATCTTTAATTGATTTCTATGAAATTTCGTCAAAGGTTTGGTGTGATCATTGCTTTACACTCTTTCTGAGTATTTTCCTATGTTGTGTTTGACTTTAGGGAAGAGGACAAAAATATTTTCGACTATTGCAGAGAGAACAACATTGAACATGTCAGCAAGGCCATCAGCTCCAAGAAAGTGGACGTGAATACAAGGGATGAAGAAGTAGGCTTTTAAAACATTTTTTATATTTATCGATTTTTGTATATTTACATGTTGTGTGTATTTTTTATAATATTTATTGTTATAAATTATAAAAAATTTAAAATTTAACAGCATTAGAGTGATTTCTGAAGGATCATGTGACACTGAAGACTGGAGTAATGGCTGCTGAAAATTCAGCTTTGCCATCACAGAAATAAATTTTAAAATATATTAAAATAGAAAACTGTTACTTTAAATTGTAAAAATATTTCAAAATATTACTGATTTTACTATATTTTTGGTCAAATAATTTCAGCCTTTGAGCATGACACTTTCAAGTAAAGTGAATTTGATATCCTGATCAGTGTATAGGGAGCTATGAACACTGTGTAGGGACACTGTGAATCAAAGAGAAGCTTCTCTTTTTCACCTTGCTTCTCTCTCTCTATCCATGTAAAGAGATCATTATTTCCCACACAGCTAAAACTCCAAAGGTCATTGGATGCACCATCCATCCGCTCAACCCATTTTTATTCATGTATCATCATGACCAACTGGCCCGTTTCATTTCTTTCAGCACTCCAATTCTGAAAGTGGGGAACCAGTTGGCTCACCATCAGGTCGGCCAGATGGCAGCCATTGTCAATCCACCATTGTTCATCTCACTAGTGCAGTTCAGCATATTAACCTCTAGAGGGCACTAGTGAATTTTAAAATCTGCTGTATATATATACCGTATACAGTATATATATATATATATATA